CTTTCAGAAGCTTTCTCACACCATGCCACCCAGCCTATAAATTGTCTCTATAATAGACTATTTTTTTGAGGTTACAACTGATTTTGGGGAATCATTTCCTTGGGGGTGAAAATGAATTTTTTAGCATATTTTTTTATCTGCCAGCCTTTCAGAAGCTTTCTCACACCATGCCACCTAGCCTATAAATAGTCTCTATAATAGAGAATTTTTTTGAGCTACAACTGATTTTGGGGAATCACTTCCTTGGGGGTGAAAATGAATTTTTTAGCATATTTTTTTATCTGCCAGCCTTTCAGAAGCTTTCTCACACCATGCCACCCAGCCTATAAATTGTCTCTATAATAGACTATTTTTTTGAGGTTACAACTGATTTTGGGGAATCATTTCCTTGGGGGTGAAAATGAATTTTTTAGCATATTTTTTTATCTGCCAGCCTTTCAGAAGCTTTCTCACACCATGCCACCTAGCCTATAAATAGTCTCTATAATAGAGAATTTTTTTGAGCTACAACTGATTTTGGGGAATCACTTCCTTGGGGGTGAAAATGAATTTTTTAGCATATTTTTTTATCTGCCAGCCTTTCAGAAGCTTTCTCACACCATGCCACCCAGCCTATAAATCGTCTCTATAATAGAGTATTTTTTTGAGGTACAAGTGATTTTGGGGAATGATTTCCTTGAGGGTGAAAATGAATTTTTTTAGCATATTTTTTATCTGCCAGCCTTTCAGAAGCTTTCTCACACCATGCCACCTAGCCTATAAATAGTCTCTATAATAGAGTATTTTTTTGAGGTACAAATGATTTTGGGGAATCATTTCCTTGGGGGTGAAAATGAATTTTTTAGCATATTTTTTTATCTGCCAGCCTTTCAGAAGCTTTCTCACACCATGCTACCCAGCCTATAAATTGTCTCTATAATAGAGTATTTTTTTGAGGTACAAGTGATTTTGGGGAATGATTTCCTTGAGGGTGAAAATGAATTTTTTTAGCATACTTTATATCTGCCAGCCTTTCAGAAGATTTCTCACACCATGCCACCTAGCCTATAAATTGTCTCTATAATAGAGTATTTTTTTGAGGTACAACTGATTTTGGGGAATCATTTCCTTGGGGGTGAAGATGAATTTTTTAGCCTATTTTTTTATCTGCCAGGCTTTCAGAAGCTTTCTCACACCATGCCACCTAGCCTATATATAGTCTCTATAATAGAGTATTTTTTTGGGTACAACTGATTTTGGGGAATCATTTCCTTGAGGGTGAAAATGAATTTTTTTAGCATATTTTTTATCTGCCAGCCTTTCAGAACCTTTCTCACACCATGCCACCTAGCCTATAAATAGTCTCTATAATAGAGTATTTTTTTGAGGTACAACTGATTTTGATAAATTTATTTCCTTGGGGGTGAAAATGAATTTTTTTGCATATTTTTTATCTGCCAGCCTTTTAGAAGCTTTCTCACACCATGCCACCCAGCCTATAAATTATCTCTATAATAGAGTATTTTTTGGGTACAACTGATTTTGGGGAATCATTTCCTTGGGGGTGAAAATGAATTTTTTTAGCATATTTTTTATCTGCCAGCCTTTCAGAACCTTTCTCACACCATGCCACCTAGCCTATAAATAGTCTCTATAATAGAGTATTTTTTTGAGGTTACAACTGATTTTGGGGAATCACTTCCTTGGGGGTAAAAATGAATTTTTTAGCATATTTTTTTATTTGCCAGCCTTTCAGAAGCTCTCTCACACCATGCCACCTAGATTATAAAAAGTCTCGATAATAGAGTATTTTTTTGAGGTACAACTGATTTTGGGAAATCATTTCTTTGAGGATGAAAATGAATTTTTTTAGCATGTTTTTTAACTGCCAGCCTTTCAGAAGCTTTCTCACACCATGCCACCCAGCCTATAAATCGTCTCTATAATAGAGTATTTTTTGAGGTACAACTGATTTTGGGGAATCATTTCCTTGGGGGGTGAAAATGAATTTTTTAGCATATTTTTTTATCTGCCAGCCTTTCAGAAGCTTTCTCACACCATGCCACCCAGCCTATAAATTTTCTCTATAATAGAGTATTTTTTTGAGGTACAACTGATTTTGGGAAATCATTTCCTTGGGGGTGAAAATGAATTTTTTTAGCATACTTTATATCTGCCAGCCTTTCAGAAGCTTTCTCACACCATACCACCTGGCCTATATACAGGGTGACTTTGAAGTTGAGTCATTAATTTTCAGATAATGATTGTAGAAGGAAGATAAACCAAAATATGTGTGTAAAAATAAAAAAAAAATAAAAAAAAATGTTACCTTGTTTTATAAAGTATCCTCCCGACAAGTATTTCAGTGCGGACCTGTGCGCCCAAAAGCATGTCACAAAAACTGTTCGAAATGATTTCCGTTTTGCTCGACGCACAGCTGGGCGCGTCTTAGCCATGTCTCTTTACAAGCACGCAATAAAATCACTGGTTGATTTCTGAACACTGTACTCATTTCCTCAATTCGAGCACGTAATTCTTCGCGTGTATTAACCGGTGTTTTATACACTAGAGTTTTTAGCCAACCCCACAAACAAAAGTCTAAAGGATTTAAGTCCGGAGACCTTGGCGGCCAAGGTACAAAACCGCCACGGCCGATCCAACGATTATTAAATTGTCTATTTAAAAATTCACGCACATTTCTTGCATAATGGGGTGGTGCCCCATCTTGTAAAAACCACATGTTTTGTCTAATATTTAAAGGCACATCTTCCAGTAAACCAGGCAAATTGTGTTGCAAGAAATCAAAATAATTTTCACCAGTTAAGCGATTTGGTAATTCAAAAGGCCCCACTAAAATTCCATTAACAATTCCCGCCCACAGGTTGATTGGTTCAAATCGCTGTTGAAAATTGGTTTCCCTTATTTCATGGGGATTTTCAATAGCCCAAACGTGAGAATTACGTGAATTAATAATTCCGTTTCTAGTAAAGAGGGCTTCATCACTCACTAAAATTTGATTTAAAAAATTGTCATCATTTTGATGTTTATTTAAAAGCCAATTGCAAAAGTCAACCCTTTGTTCATGATCTTCCTGTTGTAAGGCCTGCACTTTTTGTATGTGAAACGGATAGAACTGATTTTCACGTAGAGTTTTCCAAGTTTTATATTGACTAATCGCCAATTGAGTTGAAATTTGTCGGGTGCTTACTGTTGGATCATCACTTACTAATTCTAAAATTTGTTCTTCTAGTTCTATTTGATCGTGTGGTCTTGGAGCACCGGCATGATCTCCTCTGTGAGGTCTTAAGTCACCTGATTCACGAGCTCTTTGCACTACATTAACAAAGGCACGAGGGGTTGGTTGCACTCGATTGGGAAACCGATCCGCATAGATCCGTGATGCCTCGGCAGCATTTTGTAAAGACTCCCCGTAAATAAGAACCATGTCCACAAGTTCAGCATTTTCGTAAACATGTGCCATTTTTGATTTGAGCCTCGCAACAGACACGACAATTCACTTACGCGTTACCGACTACCGACTGATACTGACTGTATACAACTGAAGAAACTAATTGTAAAAATATCGTTCCAAATTCTTTCGCTTTTTTGTTTCCGATGCGATGAACGGATAAGGCGGATTATATCTGTTGTTGCCAAACACGAGAACATAATATCATTATTGAGACAGGGCGGTACTCAAACTTCCAAAGGGCTATAACTTTGTTACTTTAATTTTACCAGAAAAATGGTAAAGGAAAAAAACATTTCTTTTGATCAGATCTACTCACTGTTAAAATAAATGACTCAACTTCGAAGTCACCCTGTATAGTCTCTATAATAGAGCATTTTTTTTGAGGTATAACTGATTTTGGGGAATCATTTCCTTGGGGGTGCAAATGAATTTTTTTAGCATATTTTTTATCTGCCAGCCTTTCAGAAGCTTTCTCACACCATGCCACCCAGCCTATAAATAGTCTATGATAGAGTATTTTTTTGAGGTACAACTGATTTTGGGGAATCATTTCCTTGTGGGTGAAAATGAATTTTTTAGCATATTTTTTTATCTGCCAGTCTTTCAGAAGCTTTCTCACACCATGCCACCTAGCCTATAAATTGTCTCTATAATAGAGTATTTTTTGAGGTACAAGTGATTTTGTGGAATCATTTCCTTGGGGGAGAAAATGAATTTTTTTGCATATTTTTTTATCTGCCAGCCTTTCAGAAGCTTTCTCACACCATACCACCTAGCCCATGAATTGTCTCTGTAATAGAGTATTTTTTTGAGATATAAAACATTTTGGGGAATCATTTTTTTGGGGTTGAAAATAAAGTTTTATTTATATTTTTTCATCTAGCACCCCTTTAGAGATTTTCTCAGTATATGCTATTTAGCTCATTAATTATTTTCAATACAGTAATCGGTAAGTGAACATTCGAAGAAAGGTTTTGGGTTAACTCTTGTTCCTGCGAATTATTTAATTAGGGTGGAAAATGATTCTTCCTATAGGGGTGCTTATTTTAGTGCATATATATTTACTGTTGCAAGCTGTTAGCTGTATCCTTCACAATCACAGTGTGGTCGAGGATGTCGACGCCACTGGTCATTCGGGTATCTTCGGCAAATTGTCCGCTAAATTTTGTCTGCCAACTTCACACCGGTACAAACTTGTAGGTAGTTTCTATGTGAACAGCGGATTAGTTGTCGGTAAGCAATCCGAATAAGCTCCTAGAGCCAACTCGACCTTTTCCTGTACGTAATCAACATAATCATTGAGGTGTCTGTGATAGCTAACTGGCCAAAACTAGGTGATGATTTCTTTCCGAATATCGGTTTGCTCATTATCAGCGAACTGTTGTCTGAACAAATCTAATATCATTGTTCTTGGAAGTGAAGAATGGTGAAAGGACTCACAATACCACCTCTCGACACAAAGTCAAGTTAAGAACTTGAAAAGTGAAGTAAGTTAATGGTGACGCATAAAAATGAAGATTTCTTGATAGTATCAGTATATTCTACTAACCTGAGGTTTTGAACCTAACACCTTCGAGAACAGTGTTTGGATAATGGTGACTCCCACCGGATACCCAAAAGTAATGAACAAATATGCAAAAATAAATTGAGCCAATAACATTCTGGGTATGTACGCGCACCACTCTTGACTAGAAGGGCAACCAAGTAGATCTTCACCACAATTCAAGGTCATGTACTTGACTGCTGCCATATTAGTTTCTGAAGGATCCAGCCATCTGCCATATTTCCATAGTGTGGTATTCAAATTGGAAAGGTCTACATTGGTTGTTTTGTTCTTGAAAAATCTGAAATGTTCAATAACTTAAGGTTTTTGTATAATTGGGATTATAAGACAAAACAATAATGAAAAACATGCAGTATGAACATTATCTATAGAAATAAACTTATAGCCGTATTTTTATGTATATTTGCGAAATGCTATTGGGTTGGGGGGCTAATGCAAAAATGAAATTTTCAAAATACGTTTTTTCCCGTTGTAGCGTAATAGGATCGTATCCAGCGCATCACGTACGGTAATCGTTACGTTTTAGTTTCAACTATTAACACTGGCAGTTCTGTCATTCTTTTCATTATTATGTATCCACAGAAGTTTTAGATAGAGTCAAATGGATTGATCGTCCTGCCTCAAAATGATTTTAAAGAATGATCTATCAGCGACCCTACGAAGTTTAACCGATAGAACCGAATAGTGTCAACGTCGCCCGCCCAGCTCATATCATAACACCACAGCAAAATATACTGGTTTATTAAGACATTACGTTGTAATGGGCATTGCCTCATATGAGTACGTGCAAATAATATAATAGACAAAAACCTTAACCGGATCAATTAATAACTAAATTTACTGAGTTGATAATCGTTTTGGCAAATTCGCCTTTTAAATAGATGAGTAACTAAATCCAGTGTCTATGAGTTACTGTGCTCTAAACTTCAATTTGTAGATGAAGTGCCAACTCCGAGTTCATTCTTGTAAGCTACCCGTGGGCAAGCTTACGGGTTGTGGTTACCTTTGGTTTAAATATTCCAAAAAATACCGGAAGCCATAAGATTCTAAATATCCTTTGTAATTTTCTTGAGGAACTTTCCGACTTGATAGCGTCTGGCAAGTATTGTTCTCAGCACATGAAAATCCAACGATACAATCACTGATATATTTTTCTAATGAGTCTTTTTTATCCAATCGTTTACAAACTTTCCCAGAAACCACTCACCTATCACAATAATGTGTCAAATTCAGCTTGAATTCAGCATCGTACATCTGAGGGGGGTCACTCCCCATGGGGATATAACAAGCACATCCAATAACCATGATCAGAAACCCTCCATAAATCATGATCTTCACTTCAGAAACAATCCGGGAGAGTGGCGCTATGGAAGCAAAAGTACTGATGGCTATGACAGCGCCAACGGACATGAGAAGGCCCATGTACCATAACGATTCACTTTTGGTCCAAGCGAATTGGTCCATGGTCAGAGGTGTAGCGAGAGTTTCAAGAAGCATGAAGTTAAAGACGTAGATGAAGAAGGATACTATTAAGGTCCACGCGGCGAGGTAGTTGATTTTCTCCTGGAAACAAATAAACTTATGCTTTGAAGTTCAGCTGAATTATTAATCCTAATTGAAAATGTCAAAAAATGTAGGTCGCCACAGAATTCTGGAAACATATTCAAATGGATAACACGACAACGCATAAAAATCGCTGAATTGTTTCCTGTAGGTTTTATATAAAAACGCTACAATCTACCAAGTATATCGTTATTGCGGCTACACGCTCTTTGATCCGGCCGTCGACGGTTTTAGTAGCAGTAGTGTGATGAAGGTATATCCCGCCTAGTATTGCAAATTTTGTCGATGTGCCTATTACTGAAAACCGTCTATTCAAATGGCATGTATGAGAACATTTGGGCTAGATGAAATTGGAGGACATCTGGAGCTACCTTTTAACGATAATTCGTATATTTCGACTAAATAAATATGAAATATTGAACCCTATCATGACAATATGTGACGCCTAAGGTAAAGTTCTTTTTCATGTAACGCCACTTGGATTTTTATGCAGTTTCAATTAGAAATGGAAATATTATTCTCTCCTTTTTGCCAATTTCGCCGCGATTAATTTTATAAAATATATGACGCTCATACTTAAGCAACCAGTATTGCAGCTTAAAGATGTATACTCACTTCTTTCCAAGTATCCTTGACATTGTCCTTGCCCATCCTTAACATTGCTTCCTTCGCAGCAATTTTGTGTTCCTTAAACATACTGGGAAAGAAGAAGTAGATGTTGAGCAAAGAAAGTAGTACGTTAATCCAACCTGAAGCGGTGTACATGCTGAACCTAAGTTCCATTAATAATGGATATCCCTCGCTACCCAGAGGAACCACAGCTGCTTGCACAGCAGGTCCTATCACGAAGCCTAGTACTTGGGCTAGTGAGATCATGGATACAGCTTTCGTCCTCTCTGAGTAACGTGTTGCGGCTGATAGGTAGGACCTGCAGGCAGCGATGTTGGCTGAAAGGATAATCATATGAAGACATGCTCAAACACCATTTTTGCATGTAAAGTGTTTTCTAGTAAAGACAGTTCGATGCTGGAATGGAATAAGACAATCTTAGTGTTAAATTTCAACGAAATCATTTTTTAGTCGAAAGACCCCCATGAATCGCAATTTGTATGGAATGTCATACATCGCGTCCTGCCTCGGTTACATAGTCGCACGATTGAAGAGAACCAATTTTTAGTAATTTTACTTAATAGATCCGCCCGACTGTAAGCGATGAAGAGACTTAGGCTTATTGATAAATACATCAGAGAGCTTCACAAAAAAGGTCTAATAGGATCAAATCGGACGAACTTGTTAACCAATTTTTATCACCTCTCCAAATTCTAATCTTAACCTCACTACGTTTGTGCAGAATATTCATATTGGCGTTTGCTGTATTATAATAGTAACGGCATGCTGTTGAACCACTTGTCATCCACATCCTTATCGTTCAATTCGGGCAAAAAATGATTATTATTAATCTATAGCGCTCGCTGTTGGCGCTTACAGTCACGCCAATGTTATTTCGAAAAAGTATGGACCAGTGACGCCGCCAGCCTAAAATATACATTATACAACTTTTAGTGGATGCATTACCACCTGAAGTCACATATCTATGGCGAATGTCAAACGATCAGTATTTAATATGTGCGTCAGTAGGTATTTATTATGGAATGTGATGTTTATTGACCATTTAGCCACGATGCCAGCAATTAATTATTGATATATAGGGTCATGTAAAAATCCACTTACACTGACATAATGATAAGTAAATACTGATGATACGGACCACAGTAAATGGTGTGTGACATTCGCCTATCTCAATAAAGCAGCATTTCTTCGATGTCGCTCAATGTCAAAATATCTCAACTCTATTACTGTCCGTGGCCGCAGTTGACCTTTCATATCTCATACAAACTCCCATATATCACCCTTTCAAATAAAAAAAGAGTACCTCGCACACAACTTTCTTTACCGAATGTTCCAAAATAACAGGTAAATACCTCATATGCATATGTAACTGACAAAATAATGCTACAAGTACTTATAAAAAGTGAGACAGCCCTCACAAAGGACGCTACACTGGAAATCGTTTTTTCTGGAATAACTTTTAAACGACACTATTACATTTAACGAAAATTTGACAGCTTAGTATCCAATTGGAGCCTTATTTGATAGTGCTATGGAAAATAATCAATTGATCTAGATCGCCAGGAATGGACTAACCCCAATAATGCAATAATGTTAAAATGTTGTACACTCTGTATAAAATCTTGTACACCGTGTATCACAATGGCTCAATAATAACATTTTCAGGAAGTTTGGATTTTAAAGCTGAAACAAAAAATGTCCTTGTATGACATCGATAAAATGGGCCGTTTTGAAAAACGCTCCGTTACAGGGTTGCCAACTAAGAATGCGAGGTACTATATCTGGGAACCTAACCATCGTAGAGACTTGCGGCAAAAACTAATACGGCCAAGAGAAAAACCTGGAAAACAATTGCAAGATTCGGAACTGGCCGCTAGGGGGAGTAGTTGCAGTCTTGAATCTAAAAAGATGTGACATTTTTTGCTGTAGCTCTAAAAATAAAGTGGTGGGGGTAACGTTTCCGTAAAAAAACTGGTTGTATCTTCGAAACGGCTGAGCCGATTTTAACAAACTTGGGCTTGGGCTCAACCTACAACCAGAGAAGATATGAAAAACCTAATTCATAACATACAGCGAGCCGAAGTTGAAGCTGCAGTTTTGTCTACCCATGAGAGGCTTCAGGAATGCATAGAGCGTAGTGAACAGCATTTCGAGCATCTACGGGAGCATTTTTTTTTTGCTTTAGGACCAAGCCATGCAGCCAGAAACTGGGTTGGTAAAATGTCCAGTGTTCAGATGTACAAGTAATACTATATATAATTAAGACTGGCACTACCTCATCAAAAGGTGTCAATGAATGTTAAAAACGATTTATTTTGAATAAATTATCATAAATGAATCCTAAGAATTCTTAATTGTTGTTGTTAACCTAAAATCTCCATAGAAAAACAGAAGACGAAAAGAAGACAAAGGGTAAGGACATGTTTCACGCCAAGGGGTCTATCAAGGCGACTTACCCAGAGGAGGACCACGGTAAAGGTAATAATAAGGTGTTCAACAAAGGATCGGCAGCTAAGATAGACCTAAAAATGAGAACACAAACGCTTTAGGTTATGCCGTTATTGTGATGGTAAGAAGGTTTGTCTTGTTTTACAATTGTATGCCGGTCTCACAAATGAAGCTAATTAATTGATCAAATATATGTTTATCATTTGTAGCTAGCAGGTGCATAATATTATAAGGCTGCGAGACATTTAGTTGGAATAGATTGCTTTTAAGTTTAGCAGATTGTTGTCTGAATTTGGAGCAATTAAACAACATATGGTCGAGATCTGCGATCTCATTGCAGGTGTCGCACATATTACTATTGACCACTTTGATTTTATATAGGTGAGCCGGGTAGCAGGCATGTCCGAATTTCATTCTAGTTATTGTGGTTATGTATCTACGTGAATATTTAAATGACTCATGCCAAAAATTACTTCTGATTTCAGGTTCCAGTAGACTGTATCTTGTTGGCATCCGTGTGCAGAAATCATGATACTGAGTCTTCCATTTTTGCATGAAAAAATTCCTTGCGGTGTACAATCTATCATGCAAAGTTGTTGAGAGATAATTTGTTCTCCTTGTGAAACACTTTCTTTAGCTAGTTGATCTGCTCGTTCGTTAAAAGTTATGCCCGTATGGGCCTTAACCCACACCAACACTATCTTTTTGTCTGAATTATATTGTTGGAACTTGGATATTTCTTGCTTAATCCTTATTATATATGAGTGGTAATAGTTAGAATTAACATCTGTTGGACACTTTAAGCAAGACAAGACGGATAGAGAGTCAGAAAATATAATACATTTGCAAATACCGGATTCTCTCACAAATTCTATGGATTTTAATATAGCGAATGCTTCCGCTGTAAATATAGATGTTTGTCCACTGAACTTGAACTTCTTCTCGGCCCGATGAGGTATTACCCAGGCAGCTCCAGTGCCCTCAGCAGTTTTAGATGCATCGGTGAAGATCGAAGTATAATCAACGTAACTTCCCATGATTCGTGATATTACGCCGTTATTAAAGCTAGCTACTTCAGTGTAGCTAGGGATAATGACTTCAGTATTCAATAGAAACAATGCGAAGTTTACATCCAGAAATGTAGGTGAAAAGTCTGTAGAGTTTCTAAAGGCTTCACAGAGGAGAGGCGAGCCTCTTTCAGACCAATTAGGTGAACTAAGATCATGAGCATTCAGGGAGGCTACTTTATTCAAAAAGGGAGCTTTCTTAGTTCTACATTTTAAAATCATTTTTTCAGCAAGCATTTGTCTTCTTATGTCGAGTGGTCGCTCTCTAGCTTCAGCTCTAAGGGGTTCAATAGGGGTAGATTTCATTGCTCCTATGCATACTCTCAAGGCGTTATTTTGGAGAGTATCCAATTTTCTGAGTGCTTGTTTGTTTGCACCACCATATAAATAGCATCCATAATCAATGATAGATCTCAAGTGGGACCTGTAGAAGGAAAGAGCCGTAACAGGATCTGCTCCCCACCAAGTTTTTGTCTCTGATTTCAAGAAATTTAGGCCTTTGTTGCATTTTACTATAATTTCCTCGATATGCGATTTGAAGGAGAGCTTTTTATCGAGAATCATACCTAAGTATTTGATTTCCTCTACAACAGGGAAGTTAGCTTGTCCGAGGATTACTGTCGGTCTACCTGAAGTTCTATGGCGAGAAAATATAAGTACCTTGGACTTTTATGGTGAAATGCAGAAGCCTAGATCGTCGATACATTTTAAGGAGGACAAATGGAAGAATTTAGAGACCTTAAGCATATATCCAACTTTTTGGAAAAAATTTAAAATACAAAGTCGTCAACGTATTGAATGACATTCAGGTTAGAAGAAGTGGTAAGCATCGATATTGTATAAATATTAAACAGAAGCGGGGATAATACAGAGCCTTGTGGTAAACCTTTGGAAAGTAGTCTACGTTCTTTGATACTCCCATTATATTGTCTAATGGAAATTGTTCTATTTATATATAGTTTGCAAATAGGGCTTGCGATATCTTCTGGAATTTGTAGGTTCACTATTTTTTCGTAGAGGGTAAGCCAATCGACGCTATCATACACGCCTTTAATATCCAAGAAGAGTGCGCCCATATATTCATTTTTCGAGTGACAAATTTGAATGTCTGTGACCAAATGGGAGAGTGCGTCGCCAGTTCCATAATTCTTCTTGAAACCATACTGAGCTATGGGTAGAATGTTGAGATGATTGAGCCACCATTCTATTCTATATTTTATCACCTTTTCGAAAAGCTTCAATAGACAGGAGAGAAGAGAGATAAAACGGTATGACTCGATATTATTGGGGTCTTTTCCTGGTTTTAGACACGGGATAAGGATGACTTTTTTCCATTCGTTGATATCTTCGCCTAGAATTCACATATCATTCAGAATTTCAATCAATAGTTCTTTAGCATTATTAGGGAGGTTCTCAATCATAGGGTAACGAATCTCATCATAACCCGGGGACGTATTTTTTCTGTTATTGACTGCAAACTCTACTTCCTTCAGATGTATAGGTTCTAGAAAAATTGGGTGATTATTTTCACTCTGTTTGCTATTTTTTAATATGGAGGAGAAGTCATTATCAACAGTGGGTGGAGCGATATTATCAAAGAAATCATCTTGCCATTCAAAATTTCTGGATTTATTTCTAGCTCGTCCTTGCATTCATTTGGCTTGGTTCCATATTTCTGTAAGTGGTGTATTTCTATTACGATTAGCGCACCATTTACGCCAATTCCATTCCATTCCAATTCCAGTTTGCCTTTTTTAGGTTCCACTTTGATTTCGGACCGTAAAAATCAGCGTCTGAACGAGATATGTTTCTTTCAATTTCGATGATAATCGATAATGTACATTGGATTGCCAAATTTGGCGAAGAGAAAGTTAGATCGATAGCAGAGTTGTTGTTTAGAGAGAATCTAGTTGGCTGACCAGTATTCAGTAAAATTATATCTATGTCAGAAAGGATGTCGGCTATTTTATGACCTTTCTGGTTCGTTTTATATGGACCCCAGATATTATGGTGAGCGTTGAAATCGCCACCTATGATTCCTGTATTATTGAGTTGACTGAAAATGTTTTCCCAGTCACTAGCGCTAGTCGTGCTATTTGGCGGCCAGTATAAGGAGAAAAATGATAGTCGATCATTACTGATGATAAGTTCGATACCGCATGTCTGAATGTCAGAAGAAAAGTTATTTTGTAATACTAATTCATTATACACGTAGCCATTCTTTATTAGAATTGCTACTCCGGCATAACCATCAAACCTATCATTCCTAACAACATTGTAACCCTTGAATAAAATCAGACTGCCAGGCTCAAACCATGTTTCTGAAATGAGCGCTATATCTACATCATATTCACATAGACACTTTACCAAACTATGTTTATTCGATACGGCTGATTTAGCATTCCACTGCAAAATTTTTAATGTTTGTGTTTGAATTATCCATTGAAATATAATCTGCTTAATTTATCAAATACTACTCCAGTGTCTATGTTTTTCAGTTCTTCAAAGGAATTTATATATTCTAAAACACTCTGGAAAATATTGAAAAATACATCGACTAATTCTTTAGCGTTCTCGTCTAAAGTAGATTTGTCTAGGGGTGGTAAGGCTCTACTGGGGCCAAAAATGAAAGAAAACATACTAGGTTCCTCCGGAGAGGATGACGCTTTTTTCCTTTTGTTAGGGTTACTTGTGGCCGGCGAAGCCGACTGATTACCTAGTGAGTGGTAGGTTGGTGAGTTTCTTAAGGCTGAAGGATGGGAAGAAATGTGTGGTGTTTGTGGAGAGTGCCTCTTAGGGTTGTTACCCCTTTCTGAAACTTGTGGCAATGGTGGGAAATTGTCCGTGTTCTGCGTATCCAGGACCGCATACCTGTTGCTAGTACTAGCAGTCGTCGCATACGACTGAGATACAATGGTCTTGGCTTCAAGGAATGTTACATTTTTTTCAGACATGACTTTTTTTATTTTATTTTGTTCGGAATACTTAGGACACTTTCTCGAGATAGATTTGTGAAGATCACTGTTACAATGTAAACAAAAACTATCTTGCGGGTCTCTACATGAGTGCCCTTCAGTTTTTTCCCGAGAACAATTAATACACATTGTTTTAGTGCTCCTACAATGATTTGCTACGTGGCCATGTTTTAGGCAGTTGAAACATTGTATGACCTTATGTACGTAAGGTTCAACCGGATATGCAACACTGTTAATAAAAATATGTATCGGAAGGGTGTTGCCCTCAAAAGTTAGGAGAACCGTTTGTCTAGGAACAAATGTCGTGCCTCCATCGATATTTAATTTCTTTTTGAATCTGCTAACCTCGGTTATTGTGACCGAAGAATTTACGTTTTCTAAAATGTACTTTTCATCAAATGAGGTGTCAACATTTCTGATTATGCCTTTTCTTTGTAGCAAGTTTGGTATGAATGCTACTAAGTCTTCTTTGATAAGCTGATCATCATTAATTAGTTTGTTCGCATCACTAATAGACTTTAATTCAATCTTCACTCTATTTCTACCCACGCTTGAGATACTTACAATATTAGGAATTGATAGGGTCTTATGAAAAATATGACCTATTTTCATTGGGTGGATCTTACCTAAATTTCCATCTTCATCTCTGTTTTGGATAAACACGTATACCTTATCTGAGTACAAATGTGGTTTTTGTACGTTGAACACTTTTTTTGGTTGTTCTTTTCCTATTCCATTATTATGGGATATAGATGTATTATCCTGGACAGGGTTCTGGGAGTTTCCTAGGTCCATTCTTATGACCCCCCCCCCCCCCCCGCCATCGGGGGGAGAGTTTGAGGACATAATTAGACACCACTAATTAAAACCAGTGTTAATGTTTCTACGTACACAAAAATTGACCGTCCACTTTTTGCGCACTACCGGTAAAAAAGAAAATTCTTGCTCCGATACGTACTAGTTGACGGACCGAGAAGGAATGTACGGGAGCATCTTTTTTAAATCGGTCGCAACTTGATAATAAAAAGAAATTCCAGAAAAATTAGGTTAAAAAAATAAAAATTTGGGGGATTTCCGAATAAAATTTTTCTTAGGCCTAAATTTTAGGTTAGGAAAAGATATCGAGATGCGGTTTTCACGAACTTGTTTAAACATTTAGCTACTTTTTCACAAAAAAAAAATCACACCTATGCACTCAATTTTTGGAGAAAATTACGCACTTCTGTCGGAATGTCGAAAAAATCCTCTAGCGGCCATATGTGAAACTTACAAAAAAAAATATAATATTTGTAGCCTAAAAATAGCCGTTGTGAACTAACCCAAGTTTGTTAGTTATTTTCAATTAACACCATCAATTGGTTACAAAGCCCTCAAAATTTGGTTCAATTCCATGGATTCTTTCAAAAGTTATTTAAGAAAAACTTATTTCCAGACATGTCCTGTACCTCTGAAGGCGAGACCCGTAGGATTATTTTATAGAAGATTGTGGCATTATTGGTTTGTGTTCTATATGTATAAGAGAAATTGATATGTTATTCTAGGACACCTTGAATAAATATTAGAAACATTTTTGCACATCACATAAACTCTACAAATCAAGACGAACAAATTTTTTAATTGAACATTCATGTCTCACAATTTTGATGAGATTTACAACTAAAAGCAACATTAGTGTAACATCTGAAACTTATCCTGTGGTTTACATGTTGATAACCGCCATGTTTGTCTGGAGATCACCATTTGTAACTGAAACCTTTACAATAAACAAGATTATGCCTATATATGTGGTTTTATTAGCCAGACAAGCATGGGGGATAGCAATATTATTCAAGGATGTTCAGTAATCGATAGTTCTTAAAAATAGTGAAGCATAATTCCCGCTATTTTACCTGAACTTACGCCAACTAAAAATCTGGACGCCAGCATCCAATACTTCCTGTAGCTAGGAAATACTTCCAATGAAGAATAGGTACTGCTAGCTAGTGCAAACACAACCAATGACATGATCAAAGGAATTCTTATCGAGCCAAGCCGGTTACTCCACCAGCCGACGATTGGCGAAAAGACCATTTGAGCAAACGGGTTTGCAGCTACTATCAGACCCATGAATTCCTTGCCTGCAGTTGGATCCAGCTGAAGAAAATGCAAAAATTTGCAGCTCACAAGCAATATCAAAAATCGTGCAAATAACACTAAAATAGAGGATAGGCGGGCATTTATACCGGTTTATATGTATTTATTTATTAATTTACTAATATATGCACTATCCGAACGGTTTATTACACCATTTAACAGATAGGGACACAGGAATCAATTTTAAGACATAAAAATGTTCTAAAATAACTTGAACTTGCCAAATGACTTAACCTACTGTTATGTAAAATCTTTTTGAGCTGCGCAAATTACAACAGAACCAATCTACAGCATTTCTTGCACGTTCATAGTTGTTACATACTACAGATACCGGAGTGGAATGCAATGCATTGGTTCTAGCTACGTTTAAGTAAAAGTATTTGGAATTGGATCGTGTTTTAGCATTAGGTACATTAATAAGAATCTTGCTTAGCCAATATTCAAAATCTATCGCATTATTAAACAGTTTATATAAACATACACAAGCAGCGTAGTTTCTGCGCTTCTCCAAGTTACAAAGGTTATATCTGCTAAGTAATACATCATGCCTGAAACCAACTTCTGAATACGTACCATCTTCCTTGTGCCACAAATATTTCACAAACCTTCAATTTCATTCGAGTGAACTGCATAAACAGGTTACCATATTATAGAGCAGTATTCAATTTTGGATCGAACAAATGTTATATAAGAAGATCATGGTTTCACATTATTGAAATTTCTACAATTCCAACAGCATCAATATGCGAAACAAATGGCGACTGTATGAGGAAAGGGGTATATGTTACAAATGTTGAAGCCGAGATAAGAGGATGAAAACATTTTATTTTTGAAGTTTGCGAAACTTAAAATGTACAGTAATCTAAACGATAAAGGGTATGTTTATATGTTTATTATAACCAAATACTACATTTCTTGTGAAAAAATATTGTACTACAAAACATATAAAATAAAAAATGTACTTATACCACTAGTCACAAAAGATTTTCATTGATAATGCAGTAGCAGTGTTTCTCATTATCAGAAGATGATTCGGATGTATCCGGCAAAGTATTTCTTGCGTCCTCGGTGGTTGCTAAGTTTTCATAAAACTTGTGGAAGGTTATATTGACGTACGGAAGCAGCTCCATCAAATTTTGTTTTTTCAACACCCTTATGGGATTGGGTCCTGTATAAGAGGCAGGTACATTTATCTTATTTGGCCAAACCTTACCCTTTCACATAAAATTTATTATCTGGAATGGTTCTTCCTTGCTCAAGCTTTTCTTATATGACTTGTCCAGGTGTCTTTGTATACCTGAGCCATTTTATTTCACTCCAGACTACTTTTTCTCCATTTGTGTTCGCTTTTCTTTGCTGTAATAAACCTTTTAAGAGAGCCGAAAACTCCAAAAAATCACTCATGCTCATTTCTGAGACTTTGAATGGTTTTTTAGTGCCACACAGCCTGACAAGGTTCATCCAGTCTCTTGGATGTTCTATCGGACAAGGATATGCTTCTTCTTTCTGTTCACTAATAGAATGATCAGTGTCACATTCCATATGCGTGTATCCAGGAATCAGGAATTTGTGATCAATTTCTTCAATGTTATGTTTTTCTTTCAGAGCCAGCATAAACATGACGGATAGATAACAGTTTTTGTTTTGGCCGGCACATGTGTCTGAGTAAAATGTCAGACTTTTTACTGTGTCAGCGATCTCTTTAATGTGTTTAAACACGCAAGAGGCGATCTGATTCCCTCCTCTTGCTGCTAAACCCTCGTGCCACATAAAACAAAAGGCTTGCTGATCATTGCACCTGTGGAGGGTAAGATTATATGTCCACAATTGCCTTTTGTAAAAGGCGATCGATGTCTGAATATCAGGAGTAGGTAGGCACTGTTGCAAGCCAAAGGCGTAAACTTCTTTTGATGGATCGCGAGATGCAATCTCCTTGTCATTACGTTTCGCTGCAAAAACGGCTTCTGATTCTTCATGATGTTTCGCTAATTGAGCTTCTAGATCTTTCTGCTTATCACTATCGGAAGCAATGTTCATGCGCATCTTCAACTTGTCACATTTTGCACATGTGTCTTTTTTAGGCATCTTTATTTTGACATTCATAGAGTGAAATACTCTTTGATAAATAAACTGGGATACTGGTTTTTTGCTGGCGGGCAGCCATTTAAGGTATTCCTCGTATAGCCGAGCTAGTGTATAATGATGTGGCAAATATCTTACAGATGACTTTTTTCTGCTATAATGACTTTCGTAGGATGGAACTACCTGGATATGCTGCTTGACGAGATCTAAACTGCCATCAGGAGTCTTATTTGCTGGAGCAGATAGACCGCGTTTATCATCATATCATATTCCTGACTCAGAGCCGCCTTTGTTTTTCAAAACATTGCTTACGAATCTGTTAGTTTCGTCGAAAGTCATCAGAAAACATGCCTTACATACTTTCACACGGTCGCCAGCTATAGGCAGATGAAAAGTATGCGTGACAAGCCTATTTTTCTGTTTGTATTCTCTAGCTTTCGTTTTGTGCATTTTTTAGGTGCTGTTGTTGTTAGGCCAGCAATGAATGACACTCGTTTATTGAAATTACTCATATTCCAATAATCTCGAAAAAGAGAGTGCCTTCTTTCTTTGTCTATCCTTTTTCCACATTCAAGCTTACAATTTCCTAAGTCCCTAAATCTTCTTGCCTGTACTGTTTTTCCAGTTTTAGTTGTGTACTCTAAACCTAAGTTTCGATTCTCTTTCCTTTCCTTGCTTATTAATCTGGTTTCATTCTTGATAGGCTTTTTTGCTTTCTCACTTTTAAAAAATTTGCATCGGGATTTCTTTCTTCTGATGTGTCATTTTTCTTACTGCTTGTACTGCTTTTCTTTTTCTTCAAGTTTGCACCCCTTTTCTTACGTTTACGTTTTGGACCATAATTTTCTTTCTCTTTTACGGTTGAACACACTGAGGAGCCTTCTGAATATAAATCCTCATCTTCAGGAACATACTCCTTATCGAGATCGCTATCATCTTGGAATTCTTCGCCTTCAAAGCTGACGACGGATGTACTCTCACCATGAGTTTCATTTAAAGCTGGGTCTCTATTTTCGGTCAACATAGTGCGGTTTTCTTCTGAAGTATATCCCACTGCTAAAAAATTATAATTATTACTGTCTCGAAACTGTAAGCTCAGATTACACTTACCTAGGTTTAGTTGTTTTTGTTCGATAGTTGCATCTGACACTCATTTTGAGTCATGGCTACGTGACCGTCATCAGATACTAGGTCCGCTGTACTAGCAAGCAGAGCAATGTTTTCTTCTGGGGCAGCATTAATTTCTACAACAAAAGCAAAATTGAATTATCGATTATAAAATAACAAGTATCATTCTGCAACTTTCCGGGAGTAAAACTATCTTTATTTAATACTAACCAACATTGGTTAACCAGGAAAAAACTTTGCTGAAACCATCATTTTCTCCCAGCTCCGTAGCAAGATCTGCTTCATTTGTTTGTACTTGGCTACTGGTCACTGCCTGTGCATGATTACTGGTATTTATGTTATTTGTAGGAATCCTCATTGAATTCTTAAACATATTATCAAGCCCTGCAGCAGCCATGTTTGCGTCTGTAAGATGTGAACAGTATTTTGAATTGAAAAATAATGTACACGTTAAATCAGAGAAAGAAGATGGATTAAACCAAATTTTCTTGCACCTCCGATGCATTAATATCATACATGGTGGGCCAGATAGAGCGGTTCAATTTTTGTTTATTTTTTTTTTTTTTTTTGTAAAGAGGTCACAACGACTAATTTTGCTTGAACAACTATACTTCTAAAGTTCGGGAGCTAGGATTTTTTGCATATTATCGATTTTTCGATACCAGTTATAGTACATTACGACTCGGAACTAGCTCTTCTATCCTTAAGGAATGATAAATTATGCATCCGAAAATTTAAAATAAAAACACAAGATACGTACAAACGGCAAATACCACACATTGGCGTGATACCTACATTAGTACTCAACATCCATACCAAATTTCATACCATTTAGCCGTAGTTTTTAAATTTATGTGACCGGAATCACGGAAAATCGAAACCATACAGAAAATTCTAGCTCCCGCACTATTGATTTTAAAGGCACGGTGTTTAAGCGACATGAGCTGTTATGACTTATTTTACCCAAAATTTGGACCACTATGATTGGCCCACCCTATATACATAATCGCTTGTTTACAAAGCGGTCGATGGGGTATAAGTCGAAAAATGGATTAAATTATATGCGTGTCTCAAATAACTTCTACCTAATAAAACAACAAACATATATAATTCACCAGGATTTTGTATAATAATATAGTTAATTTTGGTATACCCAACTGATTTTTATACTTATACGCCTTTCCTCGTACATAAGTTGCCTCGAATTTTTACATAAAGCACCCAAACAACTATTAAGAATCACATAGGATGTAAATCATGACAAGCAAAACTTATTTTACTCTACTTACCGTACTGTATCTCCTCATCGGTAGCTGGACCTTTATTTTGCTCCAGTAGGTCAAAAATACGCTTACTCCGTTGGGAACACATAACCTCAAATACGCACACGTCTCCCTTGATACTCTGCTAGAATGTGGCCAACACGTGGCCGCGAATTATGTGAAAAGGGGTATATGTAGAATTACTTCTTGGCGCCAAACTATTGTGATTTGTGGAAAGAGGTACAAGTACAAGGATATCATACTTTAAGGGGAAATGAAAATAATGGTACTTATTTCTCTTTCCACAAGTAAGGCGGGACAACGATATGTGACATAAGTATAGATATGTCGCTTTTCACGAACTTCCAAAGGAAACAAATTTTAATTGCTCCGCATAAGTGAACTTAACTCTCTCTGCACGAATGTGTCAAGTAAAAGTTTGGATTTAAATCAATATATGTCTGCTTTCACAAAGGAATGAAGGCAAAATATCACTTATACCCATTCGCACATGTCGAAACAAGGTATTTAGGAAGCCCATACAGTTATATCCCTTTTCACGTAACTGTGTTGATTAGCTATGAAGTATTTGGTGTATTTATCCCATTTTTGCCATTTTTGACTTATACAACTTTCCCCATACAGTCGCCAAATGTAAGTTAAGTAATGTTAAGTTGCGAATTATCAGTGTTATATATGAATCTGATTGGAACAAGTTTACGTGTAATAGACATAGTGTAACATTTATCAGCATTTTAAGATACAGCTTGTTAAGGTGACACCATACCATTTATTTAGGTTGCTCAAGTCGGTTTGCAATGTATTACAGTCGTCCATGGTATCAATTTTACAAAAAATTTCCAAGTCATCTGCATAGAGAAGACAGCTACTGTATAGCTCCACAACGACGTAATCAATGAAAATTTGGAAAAGCAAAGGGTCAAGAGCAGACCCTTGAGGTAAGCCGTAAAAGGGTATATACTGATTGGAAGTGAAGCCCTTATATTCAACTTTCAAGCATCAAGCATCAAGCAGCGGTGGCCGCAGTAGTAGACACTTCGGTCTCCTGATCAGTCGCCGTGCGCTGTGCGGGTTCGAATCCCGTCAAAAGAGAAATTTTTCTATTGGATACGGATGTTGTGATTGTCCGTAGATGGTAGACTGTCTCTGACTGTCGAACGCAGAGGTATGTACCACACGGCGGATCTCGTAGGCGGGGCCAGAATGTGTGCATGTTGCATGCACACGTGTTCCCTCGCCAGAGTACGTGTGGCGTTCCCCCATTCCCCTGTATCCTCCTATAGCCCCACGGTACCCCATGGGTGTTTAGGCCTTGGGCTTTCGTGGCAGTTGGAATATAAAAAAATCTGTTTGTAAGACGAGAGATGAGAAAAATTTAAAACACGCTAAATTGGGATTTTGTGATTTCAACATTGTAACTAATCTGTCATTATCGATATTATCGGACAACCCTACGATCCTCACGCGCGGGTTGTTTCTTCATTTCCTTGAACTCATATTCGTCTTCTGATAAATGCTGAGAAGCCAACTCCTTCAGTTTGCTTGCATGACCACGATCGCCACCACCGTTCCTCACATTTTTCAATCGAGGAAATTTTATATCGTTTTCAAATAGCTTAACATTTTTATGAACAATATTTCTCGTTTCAATATTCGATTGATTAGTATTCTGAGGTTTGATGATAGCATTAACATCACTTCACTGGAATGCAACGGATTAATGTTTACGGACGATCTAAAAATGTATGCGTCTATTGCATGTCTAGAAGACTGTGCTGCCCTGCAATCGCAGATCGATGTTTTACATGACTGGTGTCTTAGAAATCATCTGCATTTAAATATATCCAAATACAGAATAGTAACCTTTAGCCGTCGTTCCACCATACTATATCCTTATACAATTAATGGTACAGGCTTTTCGAGAACTGACTCAATCAGAGATCTAGGCGTTTGCTTTGACAGTCAGTTAACATTCAACTCACATATTAATCAAATTATTATGAATGCGTTTCGATCATATGGCTTTATCATAAGAAACACTCAGCTTTTTACAGATCTGTCGGCACTAACTTTGTTGTATTCTAGTCTATTCAGGTCGAGATTAGAATACTGTTCACTAATATGGAACAAAAGAGGTAGTGATTATGTCATGCTTGTGAACAGATTCAACTTTCAAACTTTAGAGAGCCGTAGAGGTCAGGCATCTGTTTTGTTCTTGCATAAACTACTAAATGGCAAAATTGAGTCTGTTGACCTGTTATCACAGCTAAATATCTTTGTACCGAGACTTAATGCTAGAGATCATTACACGTTTTTATGTAAAAGAGCAAAAACAAATATATGTATTAATGAAAGCACCTATTAATAAAATGTGTGCAAGCGCGAACAAACCTTCTAACGTCTGTGACACTTTCTGCTGCACTTTTTCAGAAATAAGATCATGTCAATTTGTAGTTTCGCTAAAGTTAGTTTTAGGTAAATTTAGTACATTAATTGTTTTTTATTACCCATTGCTATGTAAATGGTGTATACTGTTGGGCAATATATGCTTTATTATTATTATATATTATTATTATTAACACTTTTTTAACAACTGATGCATAAGAAGGAGTTGCTTGACGAGTGGTTTGTTTCAAGTCTTCTTGAACCTTGCTTATGAGTGTAGATCGTGCCATGGTCATGAATCCCATTTATAAGTTTCTCCACTTTGGCTTGTAGTATATTTTTCATGAAATCTTTTTTATTTTGGCTACAATTGGGACAGTACCAAAAAAGACCAGGCGTTTTTAGCACAACAAATATGGTAATTTTTCCCACAAAAACCATTGCAAGAAATAGCTTGTTTGGTTCGTCCTATCGCTGTATTGCAATCAGGACAACTATTTTTTGCCATGATTTCTACAAAAAATGGTACAGATGCCGGTGTTACAAACTCACCAACATCAAAGGGAGCATGCGATGCTTCACCTAACAAGAGAATATAATTTTCCATTGGCAAAAACCACTAATAAATGAAAGTTAAAACAGAAAGCAACGAGAGCGTGGTACACACCGACTAACTCGGTCCACGTCATGAATTATGTACATGCATGTACATATTATATTGTACCACCACAATATTTGCTGAGTTGTAGATTTCTATGGCCACCTAGTTAGCTTGTCAAAATACATCTGTGAAACGTATTTACACAGTGAGTGTATTCAATCTTGGATAGGCCTTTGTATCCAAATAAGTGCTGTCCTCTACATGGGAGACGTGCAAACGAGATTAGCCAAGAAAACGTTGACAAGAAAGCGTCAAACTATTGGCTTACCTCAGGCCAAATGTTCCCTGAGACTGAGGGATTCCTTGTAGCTATACAGGACCAGGTCATCCCTACCAACAATTACAAGAGGTTCATACTTAAGAACTTGCAACAGTCTGATAAATGCAGGTACGGCTGTCAGGACTCCGAAACAATACAGCATGTAACTGGTGGATGCCAAGCATTCGCTCCAACGGACTATAAAGAGCGCCACGACATAGCTGCCAAAATCATTCACCAGGAGTCGGCATACAAATTCAAACTGATCGAATGCAAGCTACAGTACTATAAATATACACCGCAATGTGTCCTCGAGAACGACAAGTATAAACTATACTGGGGTCGCACTGTGCTTACGGACCAATACATAAAACAAAACAGACCTGACATAATCATTGTCGACAAGGGCGCCCAGGAAGTAACACTGATTGATGTGGCCATACCTAATAGTAATAATTTAACATACAAACATAATGAGAATTTCAAATTAAACGCCAGTGGAAAATGAAGTACGTGGAGACAATACCAATAATAATGTCATCTACAGGGGTGATACCAAGAAGCCTGCCAGAAAACATCAAAGCGCTGGAACTGAGTGAAAACATTTACAAAATCATACAGAAAGGAGTTTTGCTGACAACTGCCCGCATAGTAAGAAAATTTATGGGAACCGCAAGTACCTAGTGAGGTCACTATTGAGGCTTATCCCTTTGATGCTTGAAACGTCCGGATTAAGCCAGAACACCCCGATTAACGGGAGTAAACAAAGCCCTACGGCTATAAAAAATAATAATAATAATAAACGTATTTTTATTTGGGCGAAGTTTAGCTTAAGCTATTCCTCCACTTAACCCATACAAAAAACAATAAGACTCATAATATAATAAAAGTATTATCATATTTAGTATAATTACTCATAACTGAATAATTGAGTAGTATTTTTATAAGTAGAACATTTTTAGTTTTTGGGCCGATAAATTAGCCAGGTAATTTGACACACTTAGACGTTTTCCTTTCGAGCTATGGCTACATAGATAGCACAGTATGGTTAACGAATTATAAAATCAGCATTGCTTGAATAATTCGTCAAATGCCGTTACAAATGCACCGACACGTTACCCAAAATTACACTGCCAAAATAGACCAGACTGGACGCTACCCGCAAAGATGATTAGCAGTTAAAAAATAGTTATCATAAAGAAATGCCAAAGCCAATAAATATGTTTTTTACAGAAATAACTATGAATCACGAAATTGGGGAGAAATTTACTTTAGAGACAGGATGTTAAGAAAGTGATATGTGATGATTCCAACTGTTTATATATCAGTTTCAAAGTCAAGGCGAACAAAGTTAACGAGGATTTTTCTATTAGTAAAGTGTATGTGTGAAGCTGGCCTATCTTTAATTACGGTTCAAAAAGACTACGAACCTCCAGCTATAAAATAAGACAACAAACTCCTTGCCCTGAAGCGTTTCATCTGGAAGCGGTCATTCTGACGCGTTTTTTCACATACATAACTTTCATAATACTTTTCTGTTAATAAAAGGGATTAGTTTATCTGCCCTGTAAGCATGATACGAATAGTATTTATTCCTGTAGGAACTTTTCGTATACAAGAAGGTGACTAGTGGCATGTAGTGTGCCGAATACATAAACATAGCTGTAACAAATTCTCATAGATGACGCTACGGTATCTCATTTCATCTCAGTTAATTTTTTTGTCGCGGGAATATAGTGGCTATCTTCAGGTAGAATACGTTAATGAATGCTAATACTTTTCGTCTTATTTTTCTATTCACTTTCCGTCCAATCAATATGGCTACTGTTGGATAGATCCTCTTCTGATTTTTCCCTTTTAACGAAGATCTTCAAGAACTTACTTTTTGCAACTTAGTTTTGAAGAATTTTATTATTTACCTTGTCCAAATAGGGCCAGACACCAGTAACAATGATACTGAAGCCCAGCGAAATAAGGAACATGGTGAAGTAAATGATGTATATGGAGCGCCATCGTTCTCTGTATTGTTGAGGTGTTTCAAGGTCGTCATTCAACGTGAACTTAGCATTAGACTGAAAGACGGCTTTAAGGTGGTCTGTCATCTTGCTCACCCGCATCCTGTAAAATAAAATAGTTATTTATGTATCTTAGAAACTGAATGAGCGTTTAAGGCCCGCAGCCTGAAATTAGAGCCCAAGATGCGACGCCGCGGGCTCTAGCAGGGACATAAACGCTTATCACGTTCGAGACACATACAAAAATGTATCTATAGGCTACAGTGTAACTAAAGATTTAGCTCAGCCTTCAAGTGTACAGAAACAGTTATTTACCTAACGAGTGCGGAACGAGATACTTTTTGGAGATGCGTGTTTAAAGTGAGTACTTTCCGCACGCTGGTAGAAAAAACAAATAATGTGACCGCAATATCATCGGCACGGGTATTACGTAAAGTGATATTTGGTCGGTCTTTTTTGACATTCTGTAAGTTTTCTGTGACATAACGTAGGTTTTTCTACAAGGTCAACTTAGCTCTAGTTGTTGTGAATTCGTTTTGTAGCTGTACGTGTTGCCTAAACATCATGATGCTTCAGCTAGCAATGTTTGGCACAGATGTGATGTAACACCTGCTTCAGAGATGGCATTATTGGAGGTCTAAGCTGTAGTGAGGATTTGTGTGTTAATAATCTGTGTTATGATAATTCAATTGAGTTCTTGTCTCAAATACACTTACTTGAGATGTATTCAAAGCTAGCAATTATTTTTTTTTCTTATTCATTCTGAAAATTACATTTGTAAGTTTGCTGAATTTCAAAAATGAGGAGATAAGAGAAGGAAATATCTGGTTGATGAAGTATATTACAAGTGACCGATGAGAAAATATTCTACAGGCAGGAATATTTTTGAAACGTAAAAAAGTTAAGCTTATTTTTTTATAACATTCTAACAAAATAGCAAAGGTAGCAAAAACGTCCGATGAGCTGCCAACACCGCAATCCAGGTGACAAGAATAACAAGGTCAGCTGCCAAAACTTATGTCTAGCCTGAGGTACCAACGGAGTCATTTCGACGTCAAGCCGACAGTTTTCGAATTTTCATTTGCATTTTTTTAAGTTTTGTGCAACTATTTCGGGAAAAATTTTGCTAGGGATAGTCTTGTACAGCCTGGTAGAGTATAATTCAACAGTTGTCTTGCGTGACCATGTTATCTCTACTCTCCAGAAAGAGCAACATATAAATAACCCGTCGGGCACAGCTAATAGACATATTTGTACTTCATTGGTAGCATATTCAGTAATAGCTTTCTCACATAACAAATATCACTGATTTTATTCACATACAGACCAATTCACATAATCATCCAGATGCGTTTTTGCTACTCAACCAACTTTCTTTCTTTTACATCTTCTCAAAGAGATAAACACTACAGATTACTCGGCTTTCTGCAACCAGCAAAGTATGTTATGTCGTGGAAACGTGGAATGATCTATTTGCACACTAAGAGCTATCAAGTCTTCAACATGCCATTATGTCGGTTTTTTTACGTTTTCTATATAATACCCCTGCCAGTAGGGGTTTGTTGTGAGCTGTTGGCTATCAACAAATACGGACAATTATTATTAACGGTAAGGATATTTCAAAGATAGCATGCACTCAAGTCATTTTACTGCTATAGAGCATAAAGAGTCCAAGGGCATTCATCTATTCATTTACCGCTCGGTCATCGATAAATTACCTCAGATGTGTTTGATAGAGTAATGGCCGATTGCACCAACGACTTTACGGATAACTTATTCGTTTCTTAACTTTAAGCAATCCTTAAAGGTACATTTTCGGTTGCACCAACGAAAAGTGAGGATTATTCTCCGATTAAACTGTCCTTAGTTAAGTGGCAGCTAACGATCACTTAAACGGTACTTAGCGCACAGTGTGGTACATGGTTGCCAGGCTTGAAGATTTGTCACCATATTGGTGATTTTTTTATACTTAGCAACTGTTTTTTGACTATACAACTAGTTATTTTTCTGGAACTAAACCAAACTGGGACTATTTTTGACTACACTGATGCCAAGTACTGTGATAGAAGAGATATACTTGGTGATTTTGTCTCTTGACTTGTTTTTTTTTTTGGTCTTGATCGACTCCATTTTATATTTGATGTGATACTTCAAACAGGACCTTGAGCTGTAAAGTGTAGATATCACCCTATTAAGGTTGTATTGTGTTCGTGTGAGTTACAATGGAGTACTCATATTTGGATTATTTGGGCGACTTACCAGATATTCTGGATGATGATTTAGAGCTGGTAGATATTATTGTGATGGGACTACCCAGGCGCACTTATAGTCGGCCAAATTACTCTGAAGAAATGGATCCACTGGGTTTTTTCAGAAGGTTCCGGTTATACAAGGAAACAGTGTTGCATGTATTATCGCAAATAGATGATCTCAATTAGAGTATCATCATGACAGTTATATAAGTTGACCCACTTCTAAGACAAATATCTATATGAATGCATTCATTTTAGGAATCACAGCATTTCACCAATGAATCAGCTTCTATGCTGCTTAAGGTACTATGCCAGTGCCGGTCATATTAGGCAAACTGCTTATTTTATGGGAATGCATGCAAGCACAGCCTGCAGAATTGTTGGAAGGGTATTAAGAACTATAGCCAGCTTATTCCCAAGTTATGTCAAAATTCAATTATTTAATTGTAACACAGTATATTGAAATGCCTACAATACAGAATCACAATATCAATACTGCTCAAGAATAAATGATTAATTATTTTGGAAATCTTTGAATGTTTCTTTTTCGAGGAATAAAATATTTTTGTTATATTTTCCCTTTTATTGTTTTTACATCACAACTATCGCCTTCAAACAAAACTATCACAAACTACAGTCTTCAAACAAAACTAAAGTATAAAAACTTTAATCAAAAAACAAAACAATAATATATTTTGAAAATATCACAGTATAGTAGTGATTTGAATAGCCAAATGCTACAACTTAAACACTTCCAAGGAAATAAGTACATTAGTGATTAGCCTCTTAAGTACCAATGTATGGTCTGATAGACAGTTTTATATTTCCAAAAAGTATGACCAATATTAATATTTATAATTAGTAGTAAATGTAAATTTTGTTTTATTTTCAAAATAACAAAATATTAAGACATTGCAACATTTGTTTAAGTAGAATATGAAGAAACAACTGTTCTTGATTAGTAAAATTGTTGTGGTCTAGCCTAGTCACATCTGTACTTATGTAACAAACATAACACTTTGGTACTTAAGAGTTAAATCTCATTTTTCAAAAAAACAGGTATAGAATACAAAAAAAAACAGCAAACCATTAATAAAATAGTCTTGGAAATCATGTGTCACTCTGCCTCGGGCCTTAGTGAGTCTAATTGAATCTTTTCAATTTCTATGTCATATTTTAACGCTGGTACCCTTAATTCATGTTCAATTCTTGTTCGAGCTTCTTCTGAGCATGGTCTGCAATAACATTCTTTTTATCAACCAACAAGTTGTATTTTTCAGCGAGCTGGACTGATGACAGTTACCTTATGACTGTCTCAGTAGGTCTTCTACGATTTGATGGCTTGCAGGTATTAGCACGTTTGCTTGCTTGGCTTTCAGCCTTATCACTTTGTGCTGGCTAAAAAGGTTGAAACATATAGTGGAACTATTCAAAACTGTGAATGTATGTTATTGTACAAGATATATGTAGTAAACAAAGAATAGTTTATTATACAGTTACTCACTTTACTGATAGATCGCCTCAATCGTGCTGAAACAGGTTTTTCCAAATCTGACCCTTTCTTCCATCCCCTTGATATATCTGCTAGTTGCTCCATACTCCTGAAATTGTTTCCTTGATTCCCATCTTCCATCAGTTGCGATGATTCAGTGATGACCTTAAAAATATAAGAATTAGTAATTTATTATGGAAAACAGTTGTAAGCAAAAATGAATATCTCTACAGTGATCTGTTGGTTCCTGCTTATTGAATGTAACTCTACAACGATTCAGTCACAATTATGAATATCACACAATATTTCCACCAACTTCAACATTCAAAATTAAATAAAGTAGAATGTCTTTCCTCATATTTTAAAAATAAAGACTATACAGAATGAAAAACATTAAGAAAGAACTGCACATTTCAAAACTTTGGATCCCTTTCAAAAGACCTGTTACTATGCCCTAACCAAATCAAAAAACTGAGCAATCATTTGATCAGAATTTGGGATTGTTGATCCTATTATAAAATTTTTTAAGCTATATCTGAACATGATCAGAAATTTGCTAACTGTAAAATGTGACTCAACATGACAAATATATAAATATGATCGATTAATAACTTAATGGTTGCATTTACCTGATCATCAAACATATTCATTTCGTTTTCCTTTTGATGTTCATTGGGACCTACATGTTCAATGGCCTTTACTTCATATTCCAAGGGGTCTTGATTTTTCTCATAAAGCAGAAATCTGCTGCCTGACCCATATGAAGTTGTTCCACCAACAACAGTGAGTGGATCCACTATGGAGAAGAGTAAATCTTGGGATGTATTACCAGTTCTCTGTGAAGGCCCACCACCAGTTTTAAGTATTTCTGCCTTCGGTTTCCGCAGCTCCCTTTTTTTATTGTCAAATAGCTTTTTCAAGGAGTCCATTGTTCGATGCCTCCCTTCAAGGCAAGCTGCATTAAATTTCGCAGTAATTTTACTCCACGCCTGGTTTTTTTCTTGTACAGAAACACCATCAGTTTTTTTATTTTCCATGATCCCTTTAAATTCCGTAATTATAGATAAGAAGTACCTACTCTAGTTTCACTTGTTGTAAAATTGGCACCCCTATTCCTTTTTTCGGCAGCACTCATGATCCACAATATAAAAATTTGCAAAAATAAAAAATTCTTCCTTAAATTGCAGGACCGCCTTACGTTACAACATAACCTCAATGTGGATATGTGAAATCACAGCCGACGTCAACTACGAGCCGTGAACAAAGAAATCTGGCAACGTAGGTGGTAGTGTTACTCCCGCCGCTGCTTGCTGCATCGACGCAACTCGTGCTCAAAACGCTGAGAAAACATAACCTTTTCAATTTGTGATTTGGGAATCCGAGAGGCTGTAATTAAGAGATAAGCTTGTTTTCTAAGCTTCAAAGTGTGTGTATGTGTTCAAAGTGATCGGTGACTATAATATATGAGAAATAGACTCCAGTTGTAGTGCTTCTGTGCTTTAAAAATAAACTAAGAAGTGTGACTGTGGCTGTTCCCGCCTCAGGACGCAAAGGATTTCATTTTATTGAAAACGTGCAAATTCAGGTTGTATTTTTCTTTTTTCATTTATCAAGTATTTGACGCAGACAATATGCCTCGTTGTTGCTGTGTTCCTTTATGCAATGCAAACTATAATTCTGCTTTGAAAACAGAAAGCTATGTTTCAACTTTTCGCTTCCCAAGTACCGAAAGTCTGAAAAACAAATGGCTTATGGCAATTCCCAGAAAAAATTGGACACCTTCAAAATATTCAGCTGTGTGCAGTCGTCATTTTAGAGAATCGGATATCATCAGGACAGAAAATATAGTTTTGGCGGATGGAACAGTCCAAAATAATATACCTTTGAAATATCCAAAATTGAAAGAAAATGCTGTTCCCTCCATTTTCCCAAACTTACCATCATATCTTTCAAAAACTGAAGCACCCAAAAGAACTGACCCAATGCAAAGAAAACAAAAATTAATTGAGAAACATGAAAAAGCTATCCAGAATTTCGATGATATGGATAAGATCAAAGACTTTCAAGAATTACATTCTTCATTTTCAAAAATTAAAGCCTCACAGAAATGGAATAATAAATTATCTGATGGAAAGCTATATTTTTATAAATTGGATTTTGAAAATAATGGGTCAATTTTCTAGCTGTTAAATTTGGCAGCAGGTTTGGCCGTTTGTTAGTTCATGGCAATCTCGAATTTGTCAAGCTCAATATACTGAGTCTTATCATACATACCTGTTGAATAGTGTGGATTTGTCTGTATTTTTCAAGAAAATAGAATATAAAATACATTCAATCCAATTCCTCATCTTCCTTTACATCATAATAGTAATCATTCATTCATTTATGGGTTAATGAATTTCTTCAAAGCAATAAAAACATTATGTCCTCTCCATCCTAAAACACAGATAATATGTGTAAGACGTATCAATCCCTACATGTCCCTTGATGCGTAATACAATTACTATGGACATAGACAAAAAATTATGAAAAATGTCTCACAAATAATATCTTGTAAGTCCAAAAATCATAAAAACTACTAATGTTTATTGTGTGATTGTCTTTTTGACTGGCGGGGATATCTATCCGTCATTCGCAGGGTTGCCAAGTCTAACGACGATCACGTCCCGTGATGGAGGGTGGGACATGAATCTTTTACATTTGCTGGTTTTGATTTTAAAGTAGGAACACAAGCATAGTACTTATGATAGTTGGAGCTAGACTGGTAACACTTCTTGAAGAATATTTGAAATGTGTCAGAAAATTCTTACATACAGTGGACCTTCGTTATAGTATACTATCCTGATTATGATCATCTTTGGCAAATGAGTTGTATCATCAAATTGATGAACCAATATAAGAAAGCTCTTATATACCTACATACAGCGGATTTATCATGAAGATTTACTAGGTATCATGATTATAAGCATATTTGGTAGATTGTTCGATCCGGAAAAAATCTCCTATTTATGAAAATATTTTGGTATCCTCTAACCGTTGCAATCAGTGCACAAAAACTATGACATATGATTTATAGCATAACCCGCTGCCTTATCAACACAAATTTAACATACAGGTCGCCTAGCCGTGGGGATGCAGTGGTTGGGTTGAATATCACGGCAGCAACTGATGGTTTGGGCATATCTGGTAACAACGTATGAAGTGAAACTCGCTAACTTCACAAATTTAAAGATTTTGTATAATTTCTTTGAAAATGATGAAAGATATGTGTGATCTGGCAAGGTAATGTCGCAGCCAAATGGCAGTCGGTCTTTCTGGACGCTGGTCAACCAGATTGAAAAGAACTTGTCACACAGTAGCCTTCCACACTTACGTGTCAGGATAGAACGATTGTAACTGACTCGAAGGCCAAGGCTGAAGTGCTTGCCAAGATCTTTGCTGCCAACTCCACCATGGACCCCCCAACAAAGCTTCTGGTCAGGACTTGATTGTACTGAAGAGGTGTGCAGCGGAGCTTGCTCCAGTTCTTTCGCGTCTCTTCCAGATATCTGATCAATCCAGAAAACTGTAAATATGCTCATGTCCAACCCATCCCAAAAAAAGGTCTGAAACCGACCCTTACAACTGCAGGCACATAGCTCTGCTTTCTGTTATAAGTAAGGTGATGAGAGGTACATAAATCGTGAGCTTCTGGTGGACTACCTCGAACGTCTCGGCTTGATTAGCGACAGGCAGTATGGTTTCCGACACCAACGATCCACAGGGGACCTCCTAGCTTACGTCACGCAATTGTGGAGAAGCTAATCGAGTATTACGGTGAGGCTTATGTCGTCTTGATATCACGAAAGCGTTCAATCAGCTGTGGCACGCTGTCCTTTTATGCAAACTTCCATCTCATGACTTCTCAGAAAGGCTTTGCAGATGGGTGGCTGACTTTCTCTCTGGCCGCAAGGTATCCGTCGTGATTGACGGGATCTCCTCTTCATCCCGCAAGGTCAACGCGGGTGTCCCAAGGGATTGGCCTTGGCTCCGACACGGTTCTTCTTGCATATCAACGACCTCCTTTCCTGTACGATCAACCCAATCCACAGCTTCGCTGATGACAGCACTCTACATGCAGGAATTCATAGTGACAAGGCGATCTCTGCAGCTGAGCTGAAAAAAAGAAGATTAGCGACGACTACCTCTCTGACGAGAGACCAGGAGGTTATCACTGCTTGGGGACGCAACAATCTGTTGACGAACAAAAAACGTCCTAGCGCTAATACGGTACCGTTGGATGGCCGGGTTCTGCCAAAGAGCCGTTCATTTAGGCTGGTCGTAGTCCAGATCACCGAGGACTTGATCTGGCACGAACACATCTTGTCAATAGCGGCAGCTGCTGGGGAAAAAGCTAGGCTATTTGTTTGGGGCTAAGAAGTACTTCCGCATGACCTTCAAACTCTATACAAGGCCCAGAAAAGGCCTAGCCTCGAGTATTGCTCACAGAGAAGGGCTGTCCGACTGATCGATGACTCTTCTCTAACAAACAGTCTCGAGACTCTTTCACACCGGCGGCCGTCGGCAATCAAGTTCTCTTCTAGTAGTGTAAAAAGGCTAACTTTAATGGAATTACCAATGTAGCCAAAAATGGTGGAAATAGCCTGGGGACAAGTGGAAAAAAAATGCAGAAAATCGCTAAGTCTGGCAACAGTGTTGTTTTGTCCAGATGTCACGAGACTCAGTCGCGACTAGGATAGTGATGGGACATTTTATTTATACTGATCGGTGCACGAAAATAACTGAATGACTCAGCACACTGCAAGTGGGGAAAGTAATTTTTCTTAGGTACCAGAAGGAACTAAGGAACAGTCAAATCAGAATTCCATCTGACACGCATGAAACGTCTGTCGAAATCAGGTTTAAGTGTTGTATGAAAATGTTTTATTGACATCGATGAATTTCTAGAACATCCAAAAGTCTGAAAAATCTTTGAAATATTTGAAAGTCTCCAGAAAATATATAAGCGTAGCCAACAGTCAAGCGAGTCAAAAATCTTTCGGAAGCAAGTATCGGGAACCACAGGCTCCAGGGGCGCGGGGGAAAGTGGAAATTCTCTGACATGTGAGGCAACTTGAAGTGAGATGAGATTATAACTGGCCAAAATAGAAGCTACTGAAATCAGCCTTGTGTGGTCTAAACTGTTACATATTACCAAGCTATTCAATCGCGTTTTCTTTCAGTGAAGCCAGTGTTGGACTGGTTCATATTCCAAATTCTTATAACAGAACCAATTTATATATTCATGTTTTTTTTGTGCGCATTTTGAACTAGTATTTCACTCAGTGTAGAAACATACAGAACTTGAAGCAACTCGGGCTGGTGTTGTGTACTACTTGTCTATCTTTGAATGCAGCCGTGCTATTTGCTCGTGGTTTACTATTATTCTTTTCGATGATTCATCATAGTAACACGGAAAAGGACAAAGAAACGAAAAATATGCCTCATTTACAGATTACTGCTCGCGACACGACATGAGGGTTGTTTAATGTTGTTTTGGGAACAACTTCAGGATCAAAGGTATTCAATAAGGTAAGAGTATTTTAAACACAATAACTGCGCTAATATATCTCTGAGCCACAGAAGCAAAGCGAATCTCAGGCTTTCGATTCTCTCATCACTAGTGCGATGAAACGACAATTTGTCCCTCCTTGGACTGCTTGAAGTAGTGATGTGCTTTCTAGTTCTTTGCATTCAGTTCTAGGAACTGGTTCGTGAACAAACTACTTTATGCAACAATACCACAAAAAATATATCTAACGAAACAGAGCAGATATCCAGTCTGTCAGTCGAGATAACGTAAAATCGATTCAATTCATATCTTTTAACCGTTCCAATGCATTCCACTGATTGCAAATGTATCCTCCCATCACTAACATTGTGAGACACTAATGTCAAATGTCAATTATTCTTTGGTCTATTTTCCAACGTTAATGTAGTCTATGTTTTGTGGTCACTTGTCACTTGTTGTTTTGAGCCTGTTGTGTTATTTATAAAAAATGGATTCTCGAAATAAAAACAAGATCTTTCTTGTGCAGAATTACATATTACACTGTCGTGTACAGTTAAATCTGCACTAACCCCGAAATACGTGGTTATGTTATGAGTGTACCATGTACCATCACCGACGGTGCGACTGATACACTGAAATTAAAATAAAAAAACTGTCACTGAAATGTTAAATCAGTTTATTAAATATTATGAAATTATATAAAATTAAGCGAAAATTTTCAAAAAATGCTTATGGGTAAAATCCATTTTTTCAGTTTAGCTGAAGGTTTCTCCATGTTTATGGCAACTTTTGTAAGCCATATGTGATTATACTAACGTAGCATCACCTACCGTGTTGTTATAGTTTATCCTACATTTGCACTTCCAAGCCTTTTCACTCAAATTTCTGTTAGATGTTGCATTTCAACACATTCATACACTTCTTTCCAGTTCCTCAACGACATTTTGACACCACTGATCCAAAACGGTTTCAACATTCATACATACAATTGCAGTTGCAGTTTGTTGTTTTGACTTCAGTGTATAATCAGTCGCACCATCGGTGATGGTACACTCAACATAACCACACCACAGATTTAACATGTACACGACAGGGTAATATGGGATTCTGCACAAAAAAATCTTGGATGGGGCACTTTTTATAAGGAAATTTGTTCTTCCAAAATTCCATTTTCCACGGATACCTCGACGACCTCGACGTCAAATAACACAACAAGTGACCACAAAATATAGGCTACAGTGACGTAGGAGAATAGACCACAGAAGATCGATTATCGATCACAAGATGGAATGGATGCGCTGCGTTGATATATTTCGCCACCTGAGAGGTGTATAGTATAGTCAAATCGTCATTGAAGTATATTAACTTGTAAATCATACACGTTAGAGCTCAAAAATTTTATACAATGAAAGAAAAATTAAAAAGGTATAAAAGTTCTGTTTTATATATATGTATATATATATACATCAAAATAAATGTTTTTTTCCTTTACCATTTTTCTGGTAAAATTAAAGTAACAAAGTTATAGCCCTTTGGAAGTTTGAGTACCGCCCTGCCTATTATATGCTCGTGTTTGGCGACAACGGATATAATCCGCCTGACCGGTTCATCGCATCGGAAACAAAAAAGCGAAAGAATTTTAAACGTTTATCACGATGTTTTTCGTCAGTCGATAACGCGTTAGTGAATAGTAGTGTGTTGCGTGGCTCAAACGAAATCAAAAATGGCACATGTTTACGAAAATGCTGAACTTGTGGACATGATTCTTATTTACGGGGGGGCAGTCTTTACAAAATGCTCCCGGATGCATCACGGATTTATGCGAATCGGTTTCCCAATCGAGTGCAACCAACCCCTCGTGCCTTTGTTAATGTAGTACAAAGGGCTCGTGAATCAGGTGACTTAAGACCTCACAGGTGAGGGCATGCTGCTCCAAGACCGCACGATCAAATACAGGTCCGCACTGAAATACTTGTCGGGAGGATACTTTATTAAACAAGGTAACATTTTTTTTTTATTTTTTTTTTATTTTTACATA